ATTCTAGGAGAGATATAACCGGTTTTAACACAATTGGAAATTTAGACAGGGGGAAAAGTTGTTCACACACGCACACACCAATGATACTGCCAACAACTTTCAGTGGTAAGTTTTACAATGGACTGCACGTTCATGAGGCGAGTCTCTGTCTGCAACTCCAAATGGTCACGGTCCCGGTCTGGACGAACAGACAGACGATAGGCACAAGTTTAGAGAAATAGGAACAATCTCTGTGCACTGTGCGACTTACCGGAATCCTTGTTGGTCGATACCGGTTGAGTGGTCAGTTGCACATCATCCAATGCAGAAGAGCTCAGAGACAGAGAGTCCACTTCACCCATTGGCGGCGGACTATCATTCATTACACCGGCTTCAACAGGAACTGTATGACTAATTTCCGGTTGCGCCCGAAGGCCAAAACAACAGAACACATCGAAACGATTTGCCTGCAATTGGTACGGGGTTATAAGAACGGTGAGATATGGATTAATGTGAGACTGAACTGGACTAGTTGTATGCACTGTTCAGAGGCCAAAATAGGAGTGAAAGCTAACTGGTATTACCCCGCACCCCTTTCCCAAAGATCAGAACCGGTGAGTAAACAATGAACTGACAGAAATATCCACTAGTCTACTGTTCAAATGTATGCAGAGGAATACACAAACGTACCATCCAAGTGGTATTCGCGAGTGGAACGTAAGACAAACTTCGATGTGCTCATAGATCTTTTAGCTACGGTATCGATTTGTTTCTTGCACGTCCCACCAATCTGGCTGTACTTTTATCCGTTCAGAGAGGCACACGTCGATATCTCCAAAGGGAAAAGAGGTATGGCCAGTTGGTGTCCTGTAACATTATTTCGATCGCTGAAGATCGATCAAGAGGTTGATGTTTTGGTGGACAGGGCAACGCGTGATCGAAAGTTAATGTTGAGGTGATCCTGCTTGAACAGTGTTGATTGGGTTGATGCAGCATTTAACCGACTAGAAATATAGCGCCCCCAATTCGGTGTATATTAAAATGGGTTGAGCCCTGGGATTAGCAGTCATTCAACATGTCTTGAATTGTTATTTTCTGATGACGTTTGATCGTTTTTTTTTGTCATGTGGATGACGTACTCGGTGTGCGGTCTGATGTACGCTGATGGCAAATGAGGGAATAGGTGTGTTACAAATGATTCAAAAACTTTTTTTGAGTAATCCACTTG